CGGGAGGCAGAGGTTGCAGTGAGCTGAGATCACGCCATTGCACTTCAGCCTGGGTGACAGAACAAGACTCCATCTCAAAACAAACAAACAAATAAACAAAACAGAGCACAGAGAAAAACAGTCCTTCCATGGAAGTTATCATGTCTTCACTAAATTGTGCAGGCACCTTACTGCCAACAAGGGGCAGATCCAAGAGAATCACCTTGGTTGGAACATTTTGAAGTGAGTTGATACATCCTTCATTACCCAAAACAGTCGAGTCTGGGTTTTCTGCTACTTGAAGCTGAAAATACTCAGTTGCAGAAACCCATAACAATATCATTCTCACTTCTCACCCTTAACTAACATCTGCTCTTTTGATAGCTATTTGAATGATAACTCCCTCATCTGCAAATCTCAGAGAAAGTCTTTGACTCTTTTAAGCAAGATGTCATCATGCCAAAGAGAACCTAGATTTGTTATATTTGGGACTCCACAAAAAGGCTGCAGTGTGTCTTGCAAATGGTAACATTAACTCTGCTAAAACATTCCCAAAGATGTGAAACTCAGGGGTCACCAAGGAGCTGGGGGTAAGGCAGAGAACATGACACGGTACAAAGCCCTTCACGAGGCAGAAACACCTTCATCCCCAAAGTCAAAATAATCTAGGAACACGGGTGAAAATGAAAAACTGGTGACTGGGGAAGATTTTCAACATTGATTTTAAGGTATGCATGGGAACAGGGGTGTGAAGGAGGTGAAGAATAGTTTATAGTGATTAGATGGTAAGTCCTGGAGGTAACAAGTGGGAGAAGGGGGCTGAAAGAAGGGCTGCAGTTTGATGGGCGGAGGTAGGAAACTCATAGAGTGTTTGAGCCAGGTGAGACCTTGTCATCTACCTGAGCTTGCATATCATTGAGTACCTACCATGCTCCAGGCTTTTTGAGAGATGCCAGAGGTATAAAGATAGCCTGTGTCCTCCAAAGGTTAAATAGTGGTGCTATAGTGTGATGGTTAAGAGAACACTCAGGTGTCAGACTGAGAAAGTTCAGATCCTAGTTGTGCTGTCATTGGCTGTATGACCTTGAGAGATATCTTCACTTCTATGTATCTCATCTGTAAAATGGGAATGCCACTGAAGAGTCAATGAGATAGCCTGGGCCGGGCTTGGTGGTTCATGCCTGTAATCCCAACACTATGAGAGGCCAAGGTGGGCAGATCATCTGAGGTCAGGAGCTCGAGACCACCAGCCTGGCCAACATGGGGAAACCCCTCTCTACTAAAAATATAAAAATTAGCTGGGAGTGGTGGCGGGCATCTGTTATCCCAGCTACTCTGGAGGCTGAGGCAGGAGAATGGCTTGAACCCGGGAGGCAGAAGTTGTAGTGAGCCGAGATCGTACCACTGCACTCCAGCCTGGATGACAGAGTGAGACTCCATCTCAAAAAAAAAAAAATTTTAGTGAGATAGGCTATATAAAGTATCCAGCTTACAGTAAGGACTCAATACACCTTAGCTGTGACAACAATGGCAGAGAAAGATGGAGCACACAGAAAGCCACCACTAAGTCTGGCAAGTCAAAAAAGGTACATCAGTCAATGTCTTTATATGCAAGCAACAGAATCTGATTGTGGCTAATTTAACTCTCAGTCTTTACATTACTGCCTCTGAAAACATAAAAATCTGATTGCAAAGCCTAAGTCACATGATCATATCCTAGTTGATAAAAAAGGCTGAGAAAGCAAGTATCTGGATTTTTTGACTTTTATAATAGGAGAAATATTAATCTCATAGAGTGAAAGTTTCCCAAGAAAAGGAAAAGGACTCAGATGCTACTCACAAAAAAACAAAAGTGTCCCCTAGAGAAGGATTCCTGGAAGAAGTAACGACTGAGTTGAAACCAATCCACATCCTACATTTTACCAATGAAGAAACTGAGACATAGAGAGGTGGACTCTTCCAAAGTCACTAGCTTTGGGAGGAAAAGAAAGAAGGGCTTGGAATAGAGGACAGTACAGTTCAGGAGGAGACCCCAAAGGAGACCTCTGATGGGCTGAGGGAGGAAGTGGCTAAAAGCCTCAGTCAGAGCTGGTGTTGGGTCCAGAAGTGGTGGCAGCAGAGGAGACAGTGAATATTGGACAGTGTTAGTTTCCAGGCCTGGGAAGAAGTTGGGACCCAGCATAGAGAAGTGGTGTATCATAAGGAATTGGTTTGGTCTTTATCCCCAGTTTCTGGAAGGGAGCCTCTAAACCCTTAGAAGTTCCAGAGTGAGACGAGTTTCTTTGTTATTCATAGTGGGCCCCACAGATCACCCCTGAGTTTATGCTAATGAGGTGATCCACAGTGGGTCCCTAGACAGTTTTATGCTGGAAGCTGGTCATGCCAGAAAGACCAACAATGTGATTAGAGGGTTGGAGTTTTGAACCACATTATATCCTTTCATCTTCCTGTGCTCTGGGGACAGAAGGAGGGTTGGAGGTGGGGTTCAATCACATCGCCATTGATTCAACCAAGCATGTCTACATGATGAAGCCCTAATAAAAACTCTGAACATCCAACACTCCAGTGAGTTTCCCTATTTGATAATCATATATTGATATCCTGAAGACATGGAAACACCACATCTTGGCCCCTCCCAGACCTCATTCTGTGTTACTCTTAATTTGGATCATTTTTATTTATATCCTTTATAATAAAATTATAATCATCTATATCATACTTTGTTGAGTTCTGTGGGTTGTTCTGTCTTATACACAGATAAGAACTCAACAAAGTACAATATATATGATAGTGAATTAATGGACCAGAGGGGCTAGTGGGAACCCTCAAAGTGTAGCCAGTTGCTCAGAAGTGTAGGTGGCCTGGGACCTCTATGAATGGTGTCTTAATTGAGGACATTCTTGTGTACCCTTAATCTGAAAGCTTTGACCTACCTCTGGATAGTTAGCATCACAATTGCATAGCAAAATGAAAGCAGTAATTCAGGCAAAGGACTGTATCGTTCCAACCCCATAGTTGAGCCTCTGTCAAGGAAAGTCCTCACTCAAAGATGGAACACGTGTGTAGCTCGTGCCTGCCCACTGCCTCTTCTTTAGGCAGCAACCCCTTCCCCCTGACTCTCATTCATTGTGGATTGAGCAGTGCTTCAGTCCAGTGCCAGGTGTGGGCACGTGACCAAGACCTGGATAATGCAAGCATGACATTTCCCTAATCATAGCAAATGGCTCAGGATGGACACCCAAAGTAATCCAATAAAACTCAATTCCTGAACTTCTGTTGGAACTGGAAGAGAGAACAAGAAGCCTTCTTTCTTCTGGAACTGTTGACACTAAGGATAAAACAAGCCTACTGCTTCTGGGAACCAGCACACAGAGAAACTGCCAACAAAGGGAGGAAAACAAAGCCAAGAAATGCAGCAAAAGAGAGATCAAATATTGGTCACATCATCTGGGCCCCTGGCTCCCTAGACAGATCTTTGAACTTTTGGTTATGGCGGCTAACAGCTTCTCTTTCTGCGGAAGCCACATTTAATTTGATTTCCTTCACTTGAAACAAACTGATTCCCAATTAATGCAACAGGAGAAAGAAAAGAGATCTGTGTATAAGCATAGTCAAATTCTAGACACCCCTTCCTCTAAGAGGGCGAGTGAGGTCGTAGAGAAAGGCACTATCATGGGATATATCACGCAGGTGATGCTAAGACGAAACCCTGAGTTAAATTCACAACATCAATCAAGAGAAAAGGGAAAGACTAAGAACACAGATGTTTTATCACTCCGTTTTGCAGCAGGTGTGAAAGTGCCAATTTGGATTTAAAAGAGCATGAAACAAATGCAAGGTGGGGATTGTTATCAGAGCCAACCCTCATGTCTCTACCACTGTGAAAAGAGGCGCCAGGTAAGTAAATTTCCTAGCTCAATGGTCTTCAAAGTGGAAGGGTTGCACAAGATGATCCATTAGGGAGCAGAAAAAAATATTAGAACTTATATTTATAGCTATCTTAGCAAAAGTCTATCTGAAGCTTTACGAGTAGTTTGGGTGTGGATTGACCCCGGCACCCCCATTCAGTCTGTACTGAGAAAGACACCACATGTCTGGTGTCAGGCAAGCCAAGAAACCCAGGAGAAGTTGGGCATTCCACAGTACGAAAGGGATAATGTCATCTCATCCCCAGTGTTACTTCTGATAAACTTCCAATGCCTCTCTTTAAATCTCCTGATATTAACTCTAGAGCATCGAGGGTACCTATGAATTGGCATTCCTCTCACTATACCCCAGTGATGCTCTCAGATACTGAAAGATTAGTTATCTTCCCTTGTGTTAAATGACCCCAGGCGACTGATATCCTAATTAACCCTTCCTCTATCTCCTCCTTGGGTCTCTAGCTTCTCTCCCAACAGTGAGTTTGCAAAGAGAAACAGTGCACCTAACTTGTGCATAAAAAACTTAAACTTTACATAAAGTTTTTTTTAAACACGCAACTTCCAATTTAATGGGAGTCAAATGGCCAAGTGCCTCAATGAAGGAGCATGAAATAATGCTCTGCAATGTTCTTTAGTTCACCCCACAAACTGGCTGTTCTGAGCACATTCTAAATCTCTCTCTCTCTCTTTTTCCCCACCCTAACCGCATGATAAAAAAGAGAGCTGAGGCTTCAAGGGATCAAAGAAACAGACCATCCACCCCAAACCATTTTTACTTGGGGTGACACAGAAACATCACCATCCAAGTTTGCTAAAACAGCAGCTGGATCTCACTTGTAAAGCAGTTCCAACAGAGGAGGAAAGGGATACAAATTTACAAAGACAATAAATTTAACACTCTTTTCTCATTATACCAGAGCTTGTAAGAGGATTGCATTACAGGTCTAGCAACTCTAGGGCATCTGAAATGCGGTCTCATTTACAAACATTTTATTTACACTTTATGATTTCATGAACCACTGATTGCATAAAGCAGGCCAACCGGCCTGCTCCTCGCTTCTTCAATTTAATGCCGTTTTACATTTGCAGAAAACTCACCAGTGAAGAATAGCAGACAGGTGAACAGGCTAGCCAGGAAGTGGGTCAGATGGTAATACATTTAGTCTTCTTTTCTTCTAGGGCTTCCGTTTCCCCATCTGTAAAATCAGAAAGTTAGATTATGAGGGTCCCAAATCTACATTTCAACCAAGACCAGGCAAGTAATACAAATGACTGGAGGGAATGGGGTCTAATATTATGTGTCGAATATTTGACAGGCACTGAGTGAGAAAGGTACTGGGAGCAGAAAGGGAGACAAGCCATGATCCTTGCTCTGGTAAAGCACTTGGCCTTGTGAGAGATGTGAGCACATAGGCAGCTACCAACAAATATGATAAAAGCTGTGTTCAAGGTTCCACATGAATGCACAGGAGGGTTGGACTAACCCATCCCAGATGAATCCTCGAAGATTTTTAAAATAAATGAGAAGGCACTTGAGGAGAAGAGGAGTGTTGTAGGTGAAGAAGTGGAAAGAACCAGAGAAGAGGAATGGCTTTTCAGGTGGAGAAAACTGCCTGTGCAAAGTCACAGTGACCTGAAAAACAATTATGTATTGGGGGAGAAAAAAGAAGTTTGTTAGGGCTGGAAGGTCCGTACGTGAAGTTATGGAAAAATAGTCTAGAAGGGTGAGTTGGAAATAAATCACAAACAACCTTGAGGAATCTGTCTTGAGAGTAATAGGAAGCTAGGGATATGTTCTAAATTGTTGAGAAAACCAGTGATGTTTACATTTTAGAAAGTTTGCTCTGTCTGCAGGGTGGGGAATGGGTTACAGCGGCACCATCCGATATGGTGGTCATTAGCCGTGTGTGGCTACTGAGCACTGGACACATGGCCAGTCCAAATTGAGATGTGCGATGTAAACTAAAAATAAAATCTTAAGCCCCACCGACAGAACAGATGCCTTCTTGGCCAAAGAGTCCCCCAGAAAAACCTTAAAAACTGAGTTCACGGCCATGACAAGAACTGGAGGTCTGACACACCTCGTTATACCCCCTCTTTTGTGTAGTTTAGACACAACTGACCAGATTTAATGTTAAAATAGAGATCACAAGACCGACAAAATGAATTCTTTGTAGCAATAAGATATCAAGTTATCAACAGAGCTTATGGCCGTTCCAGGAAAGGGTTAAGTCACACACTCCTTCACTTAAAGAATAAACTGGATTCTAACTGCCACAAGGTTTTTCTTTTTCTCTAGCAGCTAAACAAGCGCTGGCCTTGAGATAAGCAATGTTAAAGCAACTGCCACTAACCAACCACCAGACACTGACGAACTGATCCTCCCCCGCACCGCTCCCTTTCCACCAGCCATAACTACAGCTTTGATTAGACGAGAGACTGATTTCAATAACTTTCTCCTAATAAAAAAGACCACAACCATGGACTGATTCTGGCCAGTTTACAGAGGCTGTGTACATGAGTGCCTTTGTCCTAAAAAGACCTTTTTGACATATAGGACCTAAATATAATACATTTAAATGTCAGGCCCCACCCCAAGGTGAACGAGTCATATGTCACACATGTCATAACCACCTTCATAAATATTCATAACTCTTCTCATAACCTGTTGAATATGTATACTTGGCCACCCCAGTCAGCTAAAATTCCTGTCCGACCCCTCCTCCTCCTGGCTGTGCCTGGTGGCTCACGCCTGTAATCCCAGCACTTTGGGAGGCCAAGGCGGGTGGAACACGAGGTCAGGAGATCGAGACTATCCTGGCCAACATGGTGAAACCCCGTGTCTACTAAAAATACAAAAAATTAGCCGGGCGTGGTGGCGGGCGCCTGTAGTCCCAGCGACTCAGGAGGCTGAGGCAGGAGAATGGCCTGAACCCGGGAGGCGGAGCTTGCAGTGAGCCGAGATTGCGCCACTGCACTCCAGCCTGAGCGACAGAGCAAGACTCCATCTCAAAAAAAAAAAAAAAAAGAAACCAACTCCTCTCCTTCAAAATGCCTGCTAATGATTCTGGCCAGAGGTATGGTTCCCAGCCTGTGGGATGGCCACCTTGTAGACTGTAACCCTTTTTTTAAAAAATAAAGCCTCTTTACCTAAATGCATAGATTTTGTGATTTTTCAACAGCTATAAGTATAAAATACACACGGGACTTTGAACAGTGAGTATGAAAAAAGGAATGTAGACTATCTCGTTAATATTGTTTAATATTGATTATGTGTCAAAAGGATATTTGAAATATATTGGGTTAAATAAAAGATGGTATTAAAATTAATTTATCCTGCTTCTTTTTACTTGTTTAATGTGGCGAGTGGAAAATTTAAAATTACATATGTGGCTCACATTATAATTCCATTGGACAGAGCTGAGTTAGAGAGCCTGAGACTCAAGAAAGAAGACCAATGACGAGACTTTGAAATGTCCAGGAGACATTATGAGAGCATGGGAGTTTGAACCAGACAGTGGGATGGGGACAGAGAATAAGAGAATATGCAGGCTTCTCAATGACAGATTGGATAAAGAAAATGTGGCACATATACACCACAGCATACTACGCAGTCATAAAAATGGATGAGATCACGTTTTGCAGGAACATAGATGGAGCTGGAGGCCCATTATCCTTGGCAAACTAACACAGGAACAGAAAACCAAATACTGCATGTTCTCACTGATAAGTGGGAGCTGAATGACGAGAACCCGTAGACACAAAGAAGGGAACCACAGACACTGCAGCCTACCTAAGGGTGGAGGGTGGGAGGAGGCAGAGGAGCAGAAAAAAATAACTATTTGGTACTTAATACCTGGGTGATGAAATAACCTGTACAACAAACCCCCATGACACAAGTTTACCTATTAATGTACGACAAACCTGCACATGTACCCCTGAACCTAAAATTAAAATTTTAAAAAAATAAAATTTGGGAAATAGCAGGAAAAAAATTAAAACCAGAAGATGACATATAATAGCATGATCTCATTTTTATAAAACAAGAATAAGCAAGAGTAAAACACATGCTGTGTAGGTATACATACAAATATGACTTTATATATGCAAAGCAGTGATAAACTCCCAAACTCAGGATAACAATGACCTCTGTGGAGGGGACCTGGGGCCCTGGACTGGGAAAGAGCATCAGGTGTATGTCTTATTGGCAATGCCATAGTTCTTTGGTTGATGGGGCCACAGATTTTCATTATAGAATTAATCTGTATAATGTAAACACATGTGATATGTGTGTGTGTAAACAAATACTTTTAAGATAAATTTTTCGGCTGGGCATGGTGGCTCACGCCTATAATCCCAGCACTTTGGGAGGCCGAGGTGGGCAGATCACGAGGTCAAGAGATTGAGATCATCCTGGCTAACATGGTGAAACCCCAACTCTACTAAAAATACAAAAAATTAGCCAGGCATGGTGGTGGGCGCCTGTAGTCCCAGCTACTCGGGAGGCTGAGGCAGAAGAATGGCGTGAACCCGGGAGGCAGAGCTTGCAGTGAGCCGAGATCATGCCACTGCACTCCAGCCTGGGCGAGAATGCGAGACTCCGTCTAAAAAAAAAAAAAAAAAGATAAATAAGAAAAAAAAAAGAATATGTGGGCTTCTGGTTATAGGTTTTGGTGATTAAGGGCATGAACTCTGGGACCATACAGCCTGGTTCAACACTTGGCTCTGACATCTGCCAGCTGGGTAACCTTGGGCAAGTCACTTAACCTGTCTGTTGTGCCTGAGTTTCCTCACTTATGCAACCTGAGTAGTAGCAGCACCTGCTTTATAAGGTGTTATGAAGATGAAATGAGTTCATTCCCTGATTCTCACAGTTGACTACATATGTGAGTCACCTGGGGCGTATTTAAAACTCTCAATTTAGGAGAGTCTGATTTCATTGGTGTAGGGCGTGGCCTGAGCATCTGGACTATTTTAAATTACCCACGTGATTCTAACATGCAGGAGAGTTCGTGAACCATTGCATTAGTATATGTAGATGCTTGAAAGAGTGTCTGACACAGTGTAACCATGATTTAAGTATTTGAAGTTATTATATTTTTAGTGTCTTTAAAATGCATAATATATTTAAAATCCACAATTGAGAGTCTACTATGTGCCACTAAATGCCACTGCAGGGACAGAATATTTCTTAAATGAATTCACAGAGCTCACAGGGAAGGAAGGTTTCAACATGTCCTCTCCAGTGAGCACAGGTAGGCCAACTGGAGATCAAGTTCGGATCTGGCAGCTCATTCAGCAATTCCAACTTTTTGAAGTCTCGGTTGGTGAAATATTACAGACCATTTCCCAAAACACTTAACTCCAACAACAAGGTTTTAGTGTTTGGCAACATACAAGCAGAATGCAATTAAGTCTTGGAACTGTGTACTGAGTGTCTATCAGCTGGAGCCAAAGGGGAATGTAGGGAGACGAGGCTCCTTTCAGAGTATGGAACAAGCCCATCTGTGTCTCAGGCCCCCAGAGTGGAGGCACCTTAATGAGAACTGGCTAACGGTGGTAAGAACTCCTTGTCATCAATGAAGGAGGCATGTCTGGGCCTTACAAGGACATAAAGCAAAGAGGTAATAAAGTCATGAAAAAAAAATGGCCCTTCTGTCTTGGACAGAGCTTAAAGAAAAATCAGAGCCATCTCTATTCTTATTTGATAGACTTATGTTCTCATTCACATCGTCTCCAGGCACTATGAATGCTAATTCAAATAGTAATAATTAACATTTATTAGGTGTGTATTATGTGCCAGGAGCCATCATAAGCATTTTATATGCATCAAATTTTTAAAATATGAGGAAGGGGTCATTATCAATACTTTAAAATGAGGAAACTGAGGCTCAGAGAGGTGCAGCAATTTGGTTGCAAGTGACAGAGTCTAAACTCAAACTAACCTAGATTAAAGGGGAATTTGTTGCCTTGAGGAGTACAATGAAGTGTTGAAACATTAAGCTCTGAAAGGGACAAAGATACAGATGGATCTTTGATGCAACTGGCACCAGGGCTTTTTCTCTCCGCTCCTCTCTTCTTCTATCTGTGCATCAGCCACATCCTATTCTGCTACATGTCAGCTTCTAACACAGGTGGCAATGTGGCTTCTCAACTCCCCAGGCTCTCCTCTCTGTTCCGGTTTCAAAAATCCTAG